AACTGGTCGCTTGATAAAATTTCGATTTCATTTCATTAAGCTCTTGGCGAACTTTGATGAAGTCGTCTGATAGGGTGACATCAGGATCTTCTATAGAAAATCCGTCGTCAACAGGAAGATTTCCCTGACCCTGGGGAATTTCTTCCCTGGTTGGGTTAGTCGCATCTCCTGCGGCTGCCGGATTGTTAGTACTAACAGGCTGGCCTGTTTGAGGAGTTCGAGTAATCCCAGGTGTCGCAAATAACCTGCGCTGATGCGTTGATGTTCGCGTTGAGGACAAATTATCTAAACGGCTTGAAACAACGTTCTGCGCGTTTGACAAATTTGTCTGGGTAGTTTGAACACTCGTTAAGGTTTGCTCGATTGAGTTTAACCTTTCACCAAAAGTGGTGTTGGTAGTAATAAGTGTACCCATCTGATTGGTCAGATCGGTGGTTGTCTGAGTAAGCAAGACAATTGCATCGCTCAATGCTTGCTGATCAGCCATAATTTCTTGGTTGGGAAAGAAAGATTTTGAGATTAAAGAGTTTTGTTGTAACTCCCCATAGGCGGCGCCAAAATGTGGATGTAGGATTCACACTCGATTATCTTTAAGTATTTTTGTGGAGAAAAACTCTTGTTAAATAAGGAAGTAAATATGAGAATTTGAAAAGGAAAACAACCAAGAAAAGGAGTAAAGAAATTTGACGAAAGATGAAGTGCAAAATGCCTTGCGAAAAATAGTAAAGAGAGAAAAATGTATTGTATTGTTTAGAAGTAATTAGTAATGAGATTCGTCCTCCTCAAACACATGCGTTTGAGGTTGTTTTTATAGAGAAAACAAGATCAATACGGTCATTTACTGCTTATAATCGCGTTGATCCGCATTAATCATGTAAGTTACATTTTGACCAAAACGGCTTGAATTTGAACTATCTTGGGCTTCGCGTGGATCTTCCGAACTCTTTCTTGTTGACTCCGAACTCCCGCGTCTTGACGCTGCAGCGAGCCTCGAACAATATTCTCCTCGCTTCGGCCTTTCTCTATGCGAACTGTATGTTGAATAAGAACGAACTTCGTACTGGTAAAGATCGGACTCTTTTAGTAAACTGAATCGAACTCCCGACTGGTTAAGCTCGATTCTCATAACAAAATATCTTTAATTCCAAGAGGATTATTATGTAATAATGACGTGGACAGATCCAAATGGATCCTACCAAAAATGTGTGAAATCTGACCCTAACACGAACCCTAAGAAAAACTCTCCCTTCAATCCACCATAATGAAATCTGAATCACCAACAAAGATCCCAGATCCACGTTGCCAGAGAAATCGAATGCCTGGTCGGGCTAATCCATCGGTTAAAAACCTCTGTCACCAATGAAACCAAAGAAACCAATCGAACCCTAGGAGAAATTCTCTCATCAATCCACCAGAAAGAAGTTTCAATCGCCCATAACGATCCCAGATCCACCGTTGCTTGATTAATCGAACGCATGGTCGGGCTAAAACCCTAGCGCTGTCGCCGCCATCATCGGGTTGAGAGCGTTTTTTTTTTTGTTTTTTTTCTTAGAAAGCAACTTGATAATTTGGTTTGATTCACGAAACCATTGATATTTAGTTAATCTATGTTATTATTTCAAGTAATCTTAAATTAAGACCTCTCACCACTTTAGTTTCGAATTCGATTTCCTTTTTCTATATTCATCATCTTTTTCCCTAATTTCCTTTTATTTCCTTACGGTATTCTAAGTATTATGAAGTAAGAAAAAAAAAAATATTATAAATACGATGTTAGGCGACCAACGACTAATTTTTGTCATTTAAATCTTTAGTTATTCCATCAATAATCACGAATAATATTTGTCAAATTCCACACTCAACTACATACATCTACTATATTGAGATCCTAAATTTCTTTGTTTTGTCTAAGTTTTGTACGTTCTATAAAGTGTTCCACGGTACATAAATTTCCTAACCTTTGATATTTTAAAGAACATACATGATGAGATCAAATAGCTCTCAAAAATAATATTCATATAAAATCAAATTGTACTCTCAAGTCGTTTATGTAGTATTTTAATTTATGATCATTCAAGAAATATATAACATTAGTTGCAGAACATTAGAAGTAATCAAAAGGCAACTTAATTCATTATTTCAAAATAATATGTGGACAGGAAAGTTGATAGGAACTAATTCCTAATAAATTATGGCCTCACCCCTGATTATAAATATACTAACAAGGCTTTGGTTGATAATTATTCATCTACTATATTATAATCACTATATAATTACCAAGTTTTGGCTCTAAGTGGTAATCAAAGCCTCAATATGTATTAAATTATGTAAAGTACTAATTTGATTAATCATCATGAGTCATATCTCATGGCCATAATTTAATCGTATATCCAGTCAGATATATATAGACAGTAAGGCAAATCAGAGCCATGTATATTAATATATTAAGAAAGTATTAATGTGTAGGTCTTGAGTTGCATTGCATCATGTATTCATATTTCATAGCAACATAATTACTTGAACGGGTTTCCACGTCCATAATTTAAAATGTAAATTCGACTATTCAAATGTATTATTAACAAATAATTTAAAAATGGTTGTATTTTTCTTTATTTCCATGAAATGTGTTTTTTTTTTTTTTTTTTTTGTTAAACCGTAGAAGTACTCAATCTTTGCTTCACAATCATTCCAGTTAGTCAGTAAATATTTCCATACAATGGTTACTTACATTATAAGATCTAAAACCATTTACAAGAGCAAATGGAAATTCATGCCATATATGTAACATGTAATAACAAGAAATAAATTCGAGTGATTTTAATCAGTAAAGAACGTAACATATTTGTTTTAGGTTGAAGATATGTGAATTATTCTTAAGCCAAAAAAAAGCACAAGTTAAATAATGTGGTTATTATTGATAGGCTTCTCTTGATCATTAAAGTTGAAGATCAACGTTTATTCTGCGAATTTCTTATTACCATTCACAGTTTTCATTGCAATACAATTTACTTCTTAACAAAAATAAAATGTTTTAGATTCAAATATTGCAATTTACTCTATCTTTTTTTTTTTTTGGGGGGGGGGGGGGGGGGCAAACAAGTGAAAAAACAGAAGAAAAAGTATTAGATTTTGATATTTCAATCTTATCAAATTTTTTTTGTTAAATACTAAATATTATTTATTCAGAAGTTGATTATATGTAACTGAAATCCTCAATATTTCAAACACACTGAGTGTAAATGGTAACATGAAAAACATATTCAGCCATATTCAGCCAGATTCAGCAATTCCGCAGTTACCATTTGCAAAAAACTAAATTCAACCAGATTCAACAGTTTTTCCAACATCAACAGATACATAGTATGTTCATTTCAGATAAAAATTTGGATTATAGCGATTCACAACTCGAATTAAAATATTTTTGGCTATTAAAAATTACACATCAAATTTATATTTTAAAATAAGTTAGATCATACAAATACGATATATGAATAATTCATACACATAAAATCATTACCAGAATCGACAAGAGACATATTTATATTCAGATATCTATAGATAAGTTTAGATAATTTTAATAAATTTTAGATACTTAAATATAATTTTCCAAATTTTTGCAAAAATAACTCATACTTATGCTAAAGTAATATTTAAAATATCAAATTAAAAAAATTGTTAATCATCCTAATCATATTAAGGATTTAAACTACTAGAGAACAATGAAAAATCAATAAGATAATCTATACTATATTATGATGTTTATTTTTAAATTAATTTTTCAATAAAACTTTGACAAAGCTTTCTATTAATTAATTATATCTTTTTAATAGTTCAAAAATTAGATTTGGAAGAACAACTCAATTTTGCTAAAAATATATTAATTCTAGTATTTATTTATTGGTATAAGAGTTTATTAGACAATTAGATAATTTTATCTATTTTATTTAGATATTTTTCCTTAGTTATTCTATTAATATTCGTAATTATTTGACGATATTTTAGTTAAAGTCTTAATTATTTCGACAGATTCTGCTGAAAAGCACAAAAACATTCAGCTATATTCAGCGGTTACCATTTGAAAATGTAAAAATTCAGCCATATTCAGCTAAAAATTACTAAAAATTCAGCCAGATTCAGTAATTCAGCCGGATTCAGCCAGATTCTTCGGTTACCATTTAGACCCACTGTCTTTCATCTTATCATTAAGTACATACATCATACGGTCATATGCAAAGAAAAATACAAACATATTAAATTACTATACCCAAGTGGATTTTAGTGTCATGTATTTGAGTATATAGCCTGGTCAAGTTTACACACTTAGCTCTTGAATAAAATATTAAGAAGAGGAAGTCACTCATTCACGCAATTGAGTAAAGATGTAATAAATAATCTACTTACGTGTATATTAAAAAAATCATAATGAATTGATTAGATAGAAAAAATCCGTTGGATCATTTTTTTTTTTGGAACAAGATTAAGTATTTATATTGTTTTCAAAATTTTTGACAGAAGTAACAAACTACAACACAACACAAACACCAAGAAGTACAAAAGGAAACCCAACAAGCAAAATCCCATATATTGAATTGTTGCCTAATGCCTATTACTGTAGTAACAAAATTACAAAATCATCAAAAGTTTGGTTTTGCAACTAGTTTCCTTTTCTTTTCCTTTTGGTTGAACGTGACCAGCTTCACACTACAAAAAAACTGTACATTTATAGCACCTAATAATAGCACGATTTTCACATTTGCTATCTAAGATGAGTTTGTAATTTGCTTACCATATGATAGCATTTGATAAACGCTATAATAGAGTTTCAATAAGCGGGAAGTAAAATCACTTATACCGCCAAACACTTAGCCAAATTTACTAAAACGCAAAAACTTTCTTCTTCTCTTAACACTTTGTCGCGACTCTCTTCTTCTCTTAACACTTAGAGAAACGAAACCCTTAAACCTTCAAATCTCCAAATCTATCGCCGTCGCCAATTCCGGCGAAATCTCTCGCCGTCGCCGCTCTCTGAAACACCGCCGGATCTAATCTCAGAAGAGCTGATCCAATTGAAGGTGATTTTATCCGACTCTCTCTCACTTTCACTTTACCCAGTTGTCGAAACCCTTAAATCTTCAATTGGAGCTCAAATCTGTTTATGTGTTTCGATTTCCTGATGAAATTGGAACAATAAACGGGTTTTTTTTATGACATGCAAGAGATATGTTTATGTGTTTATGTGTTTGCTCAAACATGTTTAGCTCAAGTCTGTTTATGTGTTTATGTGTTTGCTCAGATCTGTTTATGTGTTTTGATTTGGTCATTATAAGTCTCTACGATTTCGTTTTAGCTTAGTATGTTAACATTTGCAATGAAAGAATAAAAATTTTGGTTATGTATCTGATTTTAGAACATTTGTTTAAGATCCGTTCAAACAAGCATTGCTGTTTCTTATTCTTTTTTGTCAAAAAGAACTTGCTTTACTTCCCTTATTTCCTTCTCCAGTTGTTCAATCTGTATAATTTAAGGTTTACTTTTTAGTTTAGTCGAAATACACATTCTTGGTCAGTATTAAGAGATGCAAGAGTGATTGAAAATTGTTTTCTTTTGAGGCCAGACTCTGGTTGATTGACATACCAAATCCAATTGAGTTTCTTGTTAAAAAGCTCGTAAAACACGCTATGAGTCTGTTTGAGATATGAGTTTTATTTTCTGTATCCGAGCAAAGCTTCTCCACCATTTTACATATAGGTTGTGTATATAAGTTAAGAACATGTTTTGATGATTATAGTTTGGTTGTGTATCTTGGATATTTCATTACTTTGGTTTTGTATATGAAAGTTTGAATATATATATATCGTTTTTATATGAGATCAAACAGTAATATCTTATACTCTTTCTCTACTTATGTTTTGCAGGTGTTGATCAGTGCAATAAAGGAATTTTGAAGCTGTTCTTTATCTCCAATCACAGTACAGGTTAAGTGCTTCTATCTTTGTCTCTTATGATGATTATTTGTATTGCAGTTTCATTACTCTGAATATATAACTCGTTTTTATGACTTTTAAAACTTAAACTCTTTCTCTAACTATGTTTTGCAAGTGTTGCTGAGTGCACTAAAGGAATTTTGAAGGTTTTCTTTATCTCTAATCACAGGACAGGTTAATAGCTTCTTTCTTTGTCTCTTATGATGAGTCTTTGTACTGCAGTTTCATTACTTTGACTATATAAATCGTTTTTAATGACTTTTAAAACTTAAACTCTTTCTCTAATTATGTTTTGCAAGTGTTGCTGAGTGCACTAAAGGAATTTTGAAGGTTTTCTTTATCTCTAATCACAGGACAGGTTAATAGCTTCTTTCTTTGTCTCTTATGATGAGTCTTTGTACTGCAGTTTCATTACTTTGACTATATAAATCGTTTTAAGATCAAACTGTAATATGACTTTTAAAACTTATACTCTTTCTCCAATTATGTTTTGCAAGTGTTGCTGAGTGCATTGATGGAAGTTTAAAGATTTTATTTCTCTCCATTGACAGGACAGGTTAGTAGCTTCTTTCTTTTTGTCTCTTTTGTTTGTTTATTTTTGTCTGGTTGGTTTGTTGTTAATGCTGTTAGGTTGTTTCAAACATACTGTTTTGTTTTGAGTTTGTTTATATTGTTTTAATATATGTGATATGGTTGTTTCTCTCTAGCTCTAAAAGAACGTAGGTATATTTGTGTCTGAATTGTTTTAAAGTACAAAGTTATTTTTTGATGAGTCTGATTTTTTCAATAACTCTGTTCTTATATGATGTTAAGGATACTAAAGGTTTTAAATTAAGCTTATATCATATAATGCTGGACAAAGATTGGGTGCATCTTTGCAGGTATTAAATTTAATTATATAGATGTTAAGTTTTCAATAGGGGTTTGTAGATTTTTTTTATTTCTTTCTTTTTTATTTTTTTTCTCTTCATTCTTAAATGAAGAGCTGATCCAGCTTATCAAAGAGGGGCTTCAGATTTTGTAAGAGTTGTGTCTGCGGCTTTGGTAGATGGTGATATGATTGTATGTCCTTGCATCGACTGTCGTAATATAGATCGTCACATAGGAAGTGTTGTAGTTGACCATCTTGTTAGAAGAGGTATGGATGAGGATTATAAGCGGCGGTCTGATTGGTATCAACATGGAGAGTTAAATTCTGGGGTTGAAGGTGACAGTAAATTCAGTCAAATGGATGAGATATATGGGTTATATCAAGCTGCTGAGTTCATGGATGACGACTTTGTTGGAGATGATGAACCTGATGAGACCGCAGATTGTGAGAACAAGAAAGAAGATGACTTCTTTGCAAAGCTTGCAGATGCTGCATCACCCTTATATCCAAGTTGTGTGAATCACAGTAAACTCTCGGCAATTGTGTCCCTATTTAGACTTAAGACACAAAATGGGTGGTCTGACAAGAGTTTCAATGATCTTTTGGAGACACTATCGGGGATGCTACCGGAGGACAATGTGCTACATACATCACTATATGATGTGAAGAAATTTTTTAAGTCATTTGATATGGGCTACCAGAAGATTGATGCTTGTGTTAATGATTGCTGCTTATTCAGAAAGAAGTACAAGGATCTCGAGAATTGTCCTAAATGCAAAGCTTCTAGATGGAAGACGAACACGGTTAATGGTGAAGTAAAGAAAGGTGTTCCACAGAAAGTGTTACGCTACTTTCCAATAATCCCACGGCTGAAAAGAATGTTTAGATCTGAGGAGATGGCTAAGGACTTGAGGTGGCATCATAGTAACGAGAGCAACGATGGGAAACTCCGCCACCCTGTGGATTCAGTAACATGGGCTCAGATGAATGCAAAATATCCTTCCTTTGCAGCTGAAGAAAGAAATGTGCGGCTTGGTCTTTCAACGGATGGATTTAATCCATTCGACATGAAGAACAACAACTATAGTTGCTGGCCTGTTTTGCTAGTAAACTATAATTTGCCACCAGACTTATGCATGAAGAAGGAGAACATCATGCTTACATTGTTGATACCTGGACCACAACAGCCTGGTAACAGCATTGATGTATACTTAGAGCCGCTCATAGATGATCTAATTCATCTGTGGAACAATGGAGAGACGACATATGATGCATTTAGTAAATCAACTTTTAATCTTAAGGCAATGCTGCTTTGGACGATTAGTGACTTCCCGGCTTATGGGAATCTTGCAGGCTGCAAAGTAAAGGGTCAGATGGCATGTCCATTATGTGGCAAAAATACAGCAGTTTGTGGTTGAAGTTCAACCGAAAACATGTGTATATGTGCCATCGGAAGAGACTGCCAGCAACGCATAGTTTCAGATTAAAGAAGTCATGGTTTGATGGAAAAACTGAACCAGGGATAAAGGGAAAAATATTGACTGGAAAAGAAATTTCTCAAAACCTGAAAAATTTCAAAAATGACTTTGGAAATCTGAAACGATCTGGACGCAAGAGAAAAAAGACTGAGTCTAATGGTATGGAGTCTGATGACGAGGAGTTATCAAGTGAGTCGGAAGATGATGAAGAAGATGAAGTAAATGTAGATGAGGATGAGTTATCAAGATGGAAGAAAAGGTCTATATTTTTCAAGTTACCGTATTGGGAGGTATGTTTAAACTTCGATATTATTTAATTTTCAAATTTTATTCATTAAACTTTGTTTAACGTTAGAGTTAATTATTGTATTTGTTCTATGTATTTTATAGGATCTTCCTGTGAGGCATAACTTAGATCTTATGCATGTAGAAAGGAATGTGGCTGCAAGTATTCATGTAGAAAGGAATGTGGCTGCAAGTATTCTTTCTACTATGTTACATTGTAAGAAATCAAAGGATGGTCTAAATGCAGGATTTGCACCCTAGGATTCAAGGGAAAAGAACATATCTACCTGCAGCTCCTTGGTCTCTATCGAAGAAAGAGAAAAAAATTTTATGTCTCTATCGAAGAAAGAGAAAAAAATTTTATGTAGTCGTCTTGTTGATTTCAAAGGACCAGATGGATACTGCTCAAACATAGCAAGACTGAAATCACATGACTACCACGTATTAATGCAACAACTCCTTCCAGTTGCACTTAAAGGTTTGTTACCTAAAGGTCCACTTAAAGGTTTGTTACCTAAAGGTCCTAGGCTAGCAATTTTACGCTTATGTGCATTCTACAACCAATTGTGTCAGCGAGTAATTGATATGGAGCAGATTGTGGTAATGGAAGCTGAGGTTGTAGTGAATTCTTAAAGAAGTCTACAAACGTACAGGAAAAACTAGATAGAAACACTGACTATGAGAATAGTTCTATACTAGAGGGTCGTCCTATATCCGCAGCCACTTCCATAACTCTCTCAGAAATGGATAAGAAAATAGCTCATCTTGCTGTCATCCAAAATATGGCTGTCGTCGAACCTTATATCGAGTAAGTTCTATACAGTTCTTGTTCTATTATTATTTACAGTTTTATGATAAAGTATCTGATTAAGCTTCTTATTATTAATATTGTACAAGTGAGCACCTTCAGCATCTACAAGACACCAATGGAAGATGCCGACGTGATGCATCAGTTTTATGGGCTATGCATTCTGAGAATTTTGCATCTTGGTTAAAACAGCAGGCAAGTTACATCAAATCTACTATTTTCTGTTGTTATTTCATGTTTTTATGTGTATGTGTCTGATTTGTTATATTTATTTCTCGTAGATACCAATTGATTCAGACAGACATGGAGAAGTTATAAAATGGTTGGCTTACGGTCCACGTTATATGGCACGGTCATATACAGGTTACATAGTGAATGGTCAACGGTTTCATACAAGTTTAGTTGATAGGAAAAATCAGAATAGTGGGGTTTTCTATGAGGCAACAGCAGTCTGTAGGGCTAGTGCGAAAGATACTTCACAAGTGGTTGATTTGGTATCTTACTACGGCAGAGTGATAGACATCATACTATTAGATTATAATGTTTTTTATGTTCCTCTCTTCCGGTGTCACTGGGCAGTAATGGGTAATGGAGCTAAGATAGAAGATGGTTTCACACTAGTTAACATGAATCATAGTCAAGTCTCTTTTTTAAAAGATCCATATATATTAGCATTGCAAGCAAAGCAGGTGTTTTACTTAAGGGAAGACGCAGAATCAAGTTGGCATGTTGTTATGCAAGTTCCTTCAAGAAGATATAATAAAGATTTGGATGATGGAATTGCAGACATTGGACCATTACCAGCAAATGTGGACATGGATGTTCACATGGATGAATCTGAAAATGCCCGAACTGATTGTGAAGGCATATTTGTCTGAAATGGAGTCTGTTTGTCATTTACATTGTTGTTGTTTTATTTGCTATGTCTGATGACTACTTGGTAATTATTTTATTTTTAGTTGTGTTTGTTTGGCATTCACATTCTTGTTTTATTTGCTACGTCTGTTGACTGCTTGGTAATTGTTTGATTTGTATTTGTGTTTCCATTTGCTATATATCTGATGACTGCTTCGTAATTGTTTAATTAACCCTATTTTCTTTCATTTATTTCAGGTGAGTTGACATGGGACCAAAGAAAGTAACAAACCGTGGAGGGAGAAAAAAGAAGAAAGATTCTGAAGAGCCAGAATTCTTGGGTACAATAAACCCGCCACAACCTGATCATAACTTACAACACAACCAGCGTCTAGAAGGAGTTCAGCCTTTAGAAGAGCAGGATCAGCATCCTTCAGAAGAGCAGCCTGTAGAAGCTCAGCCTTTAGAAGAGCAGGATCAGCATCCTTCAGAAGAGCAACCTGTAGAAGCTCAGTCTTTAGAAGAGCAGGCTCAGCATCCTTCAGAAGAGCAGCCTGTAGAAGATCAGCCAGGAGTTAATGATGGGACTGACGAGCACGATCATGTAGCTAAACCTACACGTAAGAGAAAGCGAGGACCAACAAGATTGAGAGACATCGCCAGGAATCCAAATAGCAGATTAAAGGTTAACTTCACTTTCATGGGAGAACATTATGGTCATGGGTCTGTTAAGTTGTCAACGTATCTTGGTATAATTGTGCGAGAACACGTTCCTGTATCCATTGAAAGTTGGCCAAAAGTCCCTCAGGATATGAAGACAATGCTCTGGATGTCTGTCAAGGTAAACTTTTCTGTAATTTGACATCTACTTACTTAATCTTTCCAGGTTGAAATGTTTTTTTCTTAAAACATTGATTGATTGCAGTCAAGGTTTGAAGTAGAAGAAGATTACCAAAAGAAAGCATTGATTGAACAGATGGGAAATTTGTGGAGGTCACACAAGTCACGAGTGGTTAGGGAAGTTAATGAAGCTACGACTTTGAAAGATAGGATGGATCTGCGACCTAAGAATGTTACTGAAGCTGCTTGGCGTAAATTTGTCAAGCTCAAAACTAGTCCTGAGTTTAAGGTATTATTTTCTGAAGTAAGTAAGCTTTATGTTTGTTTATGAATAATATGACATATCTATAATCATGTGTTAGGTTGTGAGTGATAGCTATAAGAAAAGGAAGAGCCTACAGATTCCACACACTTGTAGTCGCAAAGGAATGGTTAGACTAGCTGAAGACTTGGTACGCCAAATGCTTTGGATTATTAATTCTCATCAGTTTAACAAGTATTTTGAATGATCTATTCTTTTATTTGTTTAGAAAGAAGAGAGACGAGAGAAATCAGATCCTTCTGATGTGACAAGAACTGATGTGTGGGTGAGATCGCGTACTAGAATGGATGGGACACCAGTGAATACTGATGCAGCTGAAAAAATTGTAAGTTATAAGTTATGTACATCGTGAATTTGATTTTCAGTATAGATTTAGATTTTTGGAATTGTTTTTGATATGTAACTAAATTTGCAGAAAAAGGCAGCTGAACTTGTTAATTCTGTTGAAACAAATGAAGGACAAGATACACTTGTCGAACTATTAGGACCTGATAATCCCGGTCGAATGAGGGCAATGGGGAGAAATATGACTAAGACGAAATTAGCTTGTTTCGAAGTTAATCACAAGTGTATGGTTAAAATGGAAAAGAAACAAATTCATCTCCAGGACAAGGTTAATGAGCTAGAAATAAACTTGGTAAACTGCAGAACCAGGTAATGCACTTTTGTATTTTTTGTACATTAAGCTGTTGGGTTGTAACATAAATTAAAAGTTAATATTTTTTCTGGCATGTCACAGGGACAAGAAACTGAAGTTGGTGAAAACTCTAGATCTGCTGCAGGGGTAAGTGATTAATAATCCATGAAATTGATTTCTTTATAACTATAAAGTCTGACTTGTTTTTTTCTACTCTGAATCTGCATAGAGTGTTAACAAAAAAGCACAACCAAAGTGTATATTGATTGACTGGGCTGGTGATGATGCGAATGTTGCTGAGGGACGTATTATATCTACTGATCCAGAGGATGTTGTGAATGGGACACGTTTAGGTCCTTTAGATTATAAAGTTTTGGTTGAGACTGCCACGGTACCAGAAGCATTCCTTTGGAGAAATGCTATGGGAATGTCAACAATTGAAGAATCTGTTGGGCATATGATTGCATGGCCTGCCACGAAGTGTGTTAGTCTAGAACAGGGGGTTCAGGAAGAAGACATGGCACCACTAGTAAAGTTTCTAACTTGTTCATTAATTAATAAGTTTATACAGATTGTTGATGATTTAAAATTTTGACATTGTTTTATGCGTTTAACAGGGCACAAGAGCCAATTCTTTGAACAAATGCAAACTACTTGATCTGTCTAACGATGATGTAGTTGTTGCTGAAGGCCGTTGGACCACGCAAGATCGTAAAGCTTTGGTGAATGGACTTTCACTCGGACCAAAGGCTGTAAAAGTGTTTGTTGATGTGGTACATGAAGCCAATACATTCATATGGAGGCCTACAATGGATGTTACATACATAGAAGACTGTTTAATGTCCTTTGTAGCATGGCCTTTCAACAAAGTTTTCTTCGAAAACAACCCAGATGGAACAGGCCGGTTATCTCCTATTCAGAATTATGCATCTACTCAAACAGCTCATGGAAAATCAGCATCATCAAGTCAAAAATCCACAGCAACAGGTTCTAAATCGCAACCAGCTCATGGAAGATCAGCATCAGCAAGTAAAAAATCCGCAGCAACAGGTTCTAAGTCGCATATGCAACCAATCTCAGCATCATGTGAGAAGTCTCCAACAACAGTTCCAAAATCTAATGCAGTGGAAACTCAAACAGCTGCACCGTCCCGGCCTCTTCGAAGATCTCCGGTAACTTATTTTATATGTTCTAAAGTTGATTATGGTTCTGTCTCATTTTACTGTAGTAATTGGTTAATATGGTCAACTTGTCAGCGGAAAAAAGGAGCTATACAGGAAAATCAGAAGTGTATGTTACTGGATATTAAAGAAAGGAAGCAAGTTGTTGCTGAAGGACGGGTGATTTCAACTGATCCAGAGAGACGTGTACACTGTGCTCCTTTGGGTCTTAATGTTGCGCAAGTTTTGGTAGATATAGTCCAGGTAGATGATGCAGCGGTTTGGAGGACATCATATGAGATTGAGTATATGAAAGATGCACTTGGTTCATTTATCGCATGGCCAACTGATAACTTGGTCATGTATTGACTATCGTCCAACTGAGGTAAGTATTTTTTATTTTGATGATTGTGTTTTTGGTTTTTCAGGTGCAAAACTGATATAAGACAATGTCCATTATTAATTGCAGGGGATGAAGCAACTTTGGTCCAGCTAGCTTAATTTAGGTTAAGACTAGTCTTTATGTATTTTGGATTCAGAATGTTTAATGTTTGGTATGTTGGATTTGGAATTGTTTTTGGTATGTTGGATTCGGAATTGTGTTTGGTATGATGCGGAAGTGTTTTAAGTATGTTGGAATGTTTTTGAGATGTTATAAATGGTTTCATTTTAAATTTACAGGTTATATATATATATATATTACATTTACAGGTTATATATATATATATATTACATATGATAGCATGTTATATTTTTAAAGATGGCACTATGAAAACATGAATTAACGCAACAAATATTTGCTATTGTATAGTGATCTATTATAGCACCCAATTTGAATTATCAAAAAAAATTGAAAAAATTCGTAAATTGCTATGAACAACTAAATAATGGCAATAAATTATTGCTATGAAAACGTAAATAATAACACTAACAAAGTGCTATTGTATATGAACATACTATAGCAGACAAAATTAATGCTATCGTAGGTGGGACATCTACCATAGCTGCCGAGATCATAGCAGTTGTTATTTCGCTATGTATTACCTATGATAGCATTTTTTCCGCGCTAAGAATGTAAATTTTTCTTGTAATGTCATCAAGGTGTATAATTACGTTAAATTTTTATTTATGCAATTTGGTGATGCAATTAATTAGCTGTAACCTTAGCATCCATGTGGGATGCAACTTCTTAAACTATGGGGACTTTGGCACTGCCTTTTCTAACATGAAGACATGGTAATGGTAAGCTCTTCTTGTTCATTATGGTATAATAAATAGACTTCGTTTCGACAGTTACAATTCCTCGAACCAGTCAGGCCAATTATATTTGTGGGCTAGAAAAACAACCTTTTAGGATCATTTAGGTAGAAATAAATGTTCGGATTTCAAATGTGTTTTAAAAATAAATTAATTTCTCCTTTTTGAAATTTTTGGCCTAATTTCTAGTTGAAAATCAATGGAAGTTAAAAATATTTGGATCTATTTAAAAAAAAAATTAAATTCGTAAAAATAAATCTAAAATATTTAAACTTCGGGTCTATTTTTAGCTAGTTAAAGTTTTAAGTGAACTTTGTACAAAATATAAAATTATTAATTAGTCATGAGCCTATGAATCCTTTCATTTCTACCATATCCATTTGACCAGACTTGTTTTGAATCAAATTGCAACGGCTCCTTGACCTCTTGATTCATCTGTGTCTAAAGCAAAAACAAGTAAAAGTTGAGTTTTTAATGTTGTTTGTATTAACGGTGTAAACGTCCTCTTTTTTCCTTTAAAATTGTCCGCGTGTAGTTATCTATAGATTATTTCACTAGATAATCTGTACTCTCGCAATGGTTTATTAGATACGTAAAGAATGTTGAAACTCCAAAATCCGAAAGTTTCATAGTATATTTTCAACAAAGAACACTTAGAACCATATTCGAACTACGTCTCACAAGGTTCCTTGGCACAAGGGAGTATGATTTGCTCATGCAATACCGAAACACACTCCTTTTGTATGTGGCTAGTGATTCAAGACAGGCTATCAACCGGAGATCGTATGATGAAGTGGAATGGGAGTGCCTCGGGTAACAGCGTTCTTTGTACGAACAACATAGAGATTCGCGATTATTTGTTTTTCTCCTATAATTATGCTATTGAAATTTGGGCTGGTCTTGCCAAGGGTCTGTGGAAGACACAGTTTACGTCGAACTGGTCCCAGATAATTGGTCACGTCTCGGATCAAACTCAAAACCGTGTAGAAGGGTTTATACTGCGGTATATTGAATTAAGGCTTTGATCAAGAACACCAAACTTAAGAATAACTCTCTCTTTTATTAAGCTTTAGAAATTACTCAAACTAAAACTCAATCTCATAAGTTGTATCACACCTTGATACCTCCTTATATAACAAAAGCTATTGACCTAATCCTAACTCAATTAGGAATTGTATTAGATAACTCCTAATACATTTATTTTAGATAACTCCTAGAATATTTAGCTTTATCTCTTTTACATTTTAGTAACTTATCTCTTAAGTTATTTCAAGTTTATCACAACACGGTATGTCTTCTAACCCACTATCTATACTGTTTGGAGAGGGAGGAATGAGCGACAACATGGACAAACACCAAAAACTTCAACAAGACTGATAGGATGGATTGACAAACAGGTTTGCAATCAACTCACTACTATTCGACGTTTGGGAAATTGATGATACGACATGGCCTTTCAAGTCTGGCTCCATGCACGAGCGTGAATCTTTTTTACCCTCATGAACATTTTAAAATTTTGAAAGTAGCTATAGTTTTCTAAATTTTTTTCGATAAACTATTGCACTTGTAAAAACGTTATTCTTTTTTTAAATATAATTTAACATTACATTGATAAAAAAAAAAAAGATAGTCTCATAGCATAAACAAGTCGGGTACAAATGAGCAGTTCCAAAACATGATTGTTGGAAATTTACGTTTGATATGAAAAAGACTCATAATTTTTTAAAAATCTAATTACAAAAGTTTTTTTTTCATATTTGTAATGAGCAATAACCATATATCTTCCCTATCTCTGATCACTCTTTTTTTTTTTTTTTTTGTCATAAGAGTGTTATCTTTATATATAAGCCAGTACAAACCAAGCCAGTACAAAGGTGAACAAAGCCACCATGAGCAACAGTCGTTACTACAGATATGATTACCAAAAACAAACTTGACAATCATTAACACAGGTTAAACATGTAGCATAAACTGAAGTAGTCTAAAACAGAATCCAAAAAGTGTTTTAATCTGTTCTAGAACATTATTCAACTAACAACTAAATTAAACCTGTAATGGTAGTTACAGGGACCCAAAAAGTGATGACAGAAGTTTGTATAGCAATTTATCTTTTTTTAGGAGGCTTCAGAATTCCTCCTTTCTCATCTTCCTGTAGCTTTTTCTTTTGTTGCCTATCATCATCTCTGTTATTGAAGTGGGAATTGGTACGTTTTGACGATTCACCAACCTCAAAGTATCGAGGCATTCTGGAATTGATTCCTTCATCAATACTTGGTGAAGTCGTGGATCCAGTGGAAGAATGTCTTCTCCAAGTGGCTGTGTGAGTGGTTGAAGTTGCCATATGTTGAAGATTTCCTAAGCTTGATACTGGGAATTGAGGATAGGCTGCTGCAAATTCATCAGGGTTTAAAGGTGGAGAATCTAACCTTGGTGGTGGAGTCAAAGGAGTTGGAAAAGTGTCATCCGAGTTCTGAGAGTGAGAGTTATGATTGGAGTGAATTTCCTGACCATGAGTCCTTCTCCTATTGTAGACTGGTACATCAATAACTTCAGGACTATTTCTTGGAGTGTGAGGAAAATGATTGTAAGGACAGTGGCTGCTTTGATGAGTGAGTTGAAGACAACGACTGCAAATCCTTCTCAGGCTCTCATATTGAAAGCTAATCATAGCCCTTTCTCTAGATTCAAAGCAGACCCTTCTAAAGAACCTCAAACTATCAGTGATGCCAATGCGAATTCTAACTCTGATAGAAGTTATATCAGTAGTGATCTCATCATGAAAATCTAGATAGATAACCTGTCCTATGGTTGCAGCAATAAACCTGGCTGTTCCTTCAGAAAAACATATGGTAGTGGTATTCCGCGGATTTGAACCCATAGATCAAGGGTAGTGAGGAAATAAACATCGGGGAAGTCTTCCCAGCGTTGAGATGCGATGAACCAATTGTTAAAAACCCATGGAGCACGACGTTGAACTGATACTAAATCTGCTTCAGATTGAAATAAAAACTGGATGTAAGTATCACTTAGAACTCTACCATGTATTCGTGAAGCCAGTCCCCAGAGTCTTGGTAGTGATGCAACAACAGTATGTAAGTTTTGAG